AAGTTTGAGAAACAGAAAGAATACGAAATTTTTCGTCAGCAACCATCAATTCTTTCATGGTCGCGCTGGGATGAGAACAGACTGTTCAAAAGCTATAAAAATGAACTGGTGAAGACACCAAACGAAAAAAGGTGGATGTGAATTCTAGAACTGCTTTGTGTCTGAGGAATATGAGGTAGACACATTTGATATGTTGAAATAGGGATAACTGTCAATCTTATACGAATGTGACGACATTGACAGTGAGTGGAACAGTAAATTTTTTTTACGGTGTTGCGTTTGACGTTGAAGGAGTGCACCTGCCAAGTGTTGTTTGTGTTTGAAAACACACAAAAAAGGCGGGGGTGGATGTAACTAGTGTAGTTACTAGAGACGATAAGAACGCATTACAGTCTGACGCAATAGTGCAGGTGGTAGGCTGATAACGAACACAAAGCCAAGGCGTATTTTGGGAAGCGATACGATAGAGCTGCGCAGTTCATAATCTGATGCAACGAATGGGAAGTATTTCAAATACGTGGGATATATGATAGGACGTTAAGACGAGAAGGGGCAGAACCGAGGAGAACAGTTGTGGAAGCCTGAACTGTAGATACGTGTATTAGGTTGTGAGAACTAAGTTGGAGGCTGAACTGTGTAGACGTATTGTGTTATGTGAGAATAGGAACGATGGACACGTGCATTCTGTTATGTGAGGACTAGTGAGGACAGTGGGGGTCAGTTGGTTCATTATATTCTTGTGGAACATTGATGCATTGTTATGTGGAGCATTTCTATTGATTCATGTAATAAAGAGATCAATGTAAACCTGCACTTCCGAGTATCTATATTGTGGCCGATGTTGTGTGCTGGTCAAAGATAGCACGAGTAAATACACTCGGTAACATTTGGCACTACAAGTAAATAGACTCGGTAACATTGGGCGCTGTCGGCAGTGGTAACACATATATATATATATATATATATATATATATATATATATATATATATATATATATATATATATACTATAATGCCCCATCTTATCCATTCTCTATCGCACTGTTTAAAACTAACGTAGCGACATAGTGCTCACGGGATAACACGGGTCGCCAAATTGCACTCTGCCGGGGCGCCACCCGTACAAAATTTTGTTTTCCTTGGAGTATTCTCAGCAACATTCCAAAGTTTCATGGCAATCGGATGAAAGGTGTAGTAATGCATAAAAGGCAAATAAAGTCTTAATAATTGCTTTACCGGTCATATATTCTTAGACGAATGGCCTTGTTTTCTCAAACTGAGTTATTTAAATGTAAATAATACTTTAAAATAATAATTTAAATGTAAAAAACTCCTGCGCTTGGATCATATTAATCGGGGCACGGCTTTGCCTACACTACTGCCCAGCATATAAAAGCATTGAGTGTATGCTAATCACTCACCGTAGTATCACAGTTAATCACTCACCGCCTAAGCATCGGAGACGTGGAGTGGCGATCTCGTGAGCCCCCGACCACACTTCTGTAGGGGCGCCGCGTACGGAACCGGGCTCGGTTTAATTATCAAATGTCGTGTGCCGCCTTGTCAATATTGTAGGGTTCTTCTTAAAACTAACTTAGGCGCCATAGTGCTCACGGGATAGCGTAGGTCGCCAAATCGCACCCTGTCGTTTGCCAGCGGACGCGCCTGATTCAATTTAGTAAAAGAATATAGACTTGATCGCCCTAATGTAATATATCTAAAGTGCTTATAATCTAAACTTATTTGGTTACAAAATTAATATTGAAGGTGTTCTAAAACAAATTTCATTTTCCAAACTTAGTTATCTAGCACTAATAACGCCTCATGATAAATCAGGAAAACACAATTACTTCCCTTTAAAAAAAAAACCTTACATCGCGGGAAAAACAAAACTTTTTATTACCGTGTTTTGGTGTTGGGAAAAAAAATAATTACATAATTAGCGGAGATTGATAAAGTGCAATATGATAAGTAAAAGACATTTTAAATAATGCCTTCAATTTATTGTATACACTGAACGTACTGTTTACTAAATACTATTTGTAATCAATAACAGTTTAGAAGCCGCTCCTAAATGTACTCTATGTTTACTTCTATCTTTCTGTTTGCGGATAAGCTTGAGGTATCATAGTCGTTCTCTAATTTGAATAAGGCACGTCCGCAAGCGCCCCGACAGGGTTCGGTTTAGCGCTCTGGGCTCCCATGTGAGAGCTATGGTGCATAATTTCGTTTTAAACAGTGCAATTGACAATGGATAAGAAAGGTTACTTAAGTCTTTAACTGAATCGAATAAGGGCGCCATCTAGTGCCCCGACAGGGTGCTATTTGGCGCCCCAGGCCTTACCGTGTTCGCTATGTCCCCTACGTTCGTTTAAGTGGGTGCTAAAAGACTATGAATAAGTTAGGGTACTATAGTCATTTACTAAGTTTAATCAAGCGGTTCCAGCGTTGCCCCAAGCTAGACTGTAAGCACTTTGCGTTCATGTTTGGATTTAAGATTGTATTTATGTTGACGTTTATTTGAATTATGGTTTGCTTTAGTATTTCTATTTGTATTTGCTTTTTTGTTTGCGATTGTGTTTTCTTTGTGTTTGGGTTTTTGTTTGCATTTGGATTAGTTTTCGTTTACTTTTTTGTTTTCGTTTGTGTTTTTATTTGTGTAATGTTTGCAATTTCGTTTGTGGTCGGTTCGGGTTAATTAAAAAAGTAATATATATCCTAAACCCGGGCAAAGCCGGGTACCCTATATGCTGATTACTAAACACACAAGTCATGGTTCTTTACAGATAGCTTTTTCACAGAGGCAAGTGCAGTGCCTGGCTGAACCGGCTAGTATATATTTATATAGAGGCCTAATACTTGCTATATATTTTATTATATATATATATATATATATATATATATATATATATATATATATATATATAAGTCTATACGGGGCCGAATATTTTTTTACAATAATGTATCCTATGTTAAAGGCCTAGCAAAACAAATAACATTATTGTTATATGTGGTAGTGGTCTTGGAAAATGTAATAGCATATAGGCTGAGGAAAAGTAAAAATATCTAATTTCTCTGTTAATACATCTGCATATTTTCAACAATTGTATTAAATCAAAATTTAATTGTGGTGGAAGTAATATTAACATGTGTATGTAGGGTGCGACAAGGTGGTGTAAAATGTGCTATTGAATATATTAATATAAATTTTTTCAAATGGTTTACAGTACCCATAATTAGAAAGACACTACATTTCTTTTTGCTTTTTAAATGAAGTTGAATAAGTATAACAATGAACATATTTTTTTAAAAAATGTACTAATAATTTGCAGAAGAATTTTTATACTGTCATAAAAGTCAAATGTTAACTTTACATGACATGCCAAGCAAGCCTTTGTTGTCTGACACTGACCTCAACTACCTGGCATGTTAAGGCATTAAATTTAAATAATCAGAAGAGGGTCAAATTAACCCCAGCATTCAACACACAGTGGTCTTATTGGAATTAATAATGTTAGAATACAGACATTGGTAGTAAAACACTAAAAAGAATTTGATAGATTTAGTTAGCAATTTTAATTTCATGTTACAATCTTATACCAGTTTACTACAGTAACATTTTCATTAAAGTGTTTTTAAAAATAAAGAATACAAAATTAAACACATCAAAACAACAATTTTGCTAAAAATATGATACCAAAATGTCAAAACATAACCTTTGCAGGTTTAGTGTTCTTGCTTTTTAATGCTTAACTTGTATGTGGTGTTATTGTTTCAAGCATTTGAAACTGATAGTTGTGTTAGTAAATGACCCCACTTAACCTCGATGAGACCAAAGAAAAAGATCAACTATAAATGTTTAGCAGCAAAGATGGTGAAAAATGGGTAATTTACTATTATAATTTATTAAGAACAGTCTTCTGTTACCTGTAAATTACATTAAAATTTATGCAATGAACCTTTTGCAATTTTTACAAATATACATAAATATATATAAGTGACCTAGAAGTAGAACTTAAACATTATCCTATTATTAACATATACAGATTGTGAATGAGTTAAAGATAAGAAATTCTATTCTATTGATGCTTCAACAATTTAAGTAATGTAACATATTATTAACCACCATTCTGGTTAAAGTTTTCACGACAAATATCATATAAAATCTCATATATGAATTTCTTTGTGCCTACTATAACATCACTTTCACATGGCTCAACACCTGAATGAGCTTTTCTATGTTTATTTAAATTAGCACTGTTTAAAATCCTTTTATGACAAACATCGCATCCATAACACTTAACTAATAAAAGAATATTTTTTGGTTTGCTTAGAGAAGAACTGTCTGAAAACTTTTTGTGTCAAACATCACATTCATTTGGATTATCTCCTGAATGAACTCTTTTGTGTTTATTTAAGTAAGAACTCTGAGAAAACCATTTATGACAAACATCACATTCATGTGGCATATTTCCTGAATGAACTCTTTTGAGTCTATTAAACTTAGAACTGTTTGAAAACCTTTTATGACAAACTTCATATTTATAAGGATTAAGTACTAAATGAATTCTTTTGGTGTTTCCTTGGAGTAGAACTGTGTAAAAACCTTTTATGACAAACATCACATTCAAATTGTTTATCTCCTGAATGAAATCTTTTGTGTCTATTAAAACTAAAACTCTGAGAAATCTTTTTACGACAAACATCACATTCATAAGGCTTAACTACTAAATGATTATTTTTTTGTTTGCTTAGAGTAGAACTGTCTGTAAAATTTTTATGACAACCATCACATTAATATGGATTTTCTCCTAAATGAAATCATCTGTTTCTATTTAAATTAGCTCTGAGAAATCTTTTTACGACAAACATCACATTCATAAGGCTTAACTACTAAATGATTATTTTGAACTCTTTTGTGTTTGCTTAGAGTAGAACTGTGTGGAAACTCTTTATGATAAACATCACATTTATATGGCTTAACACAAGAATGAACAGTTTTATGTTTGCTTACAGTAGAACTGTAAAACATCACATTCAAATTGTTTATCTCCTGAATAAACTCTTTTGCGTTTCCTTAAATCAGAATTGCCAGAAAACATTTTGTGACAAAGATCACATTCATGTGTTACTAGTGGCTGCTTAGACTTAGAGCAAACATTTTAGAAAAATATTTATGGCAATCATCACATTCATGTGGCTTATCTCCAGAATGAACTTTTTTATGCTTCCTTAAACTAGAACTATATGAAAACTTTTTATGACAAACATCACATTCAAATGGTTTATCTTCTGAATGAACTTGTTTGTGTGCATATAAATTAGAACTCTGAGAAAACTTTTTTTGACAAAAATCACATTCAAATGGTTTATCTCCTGAATGAACTGCTGTTTTGTGTTTTGTTAAATCAGAATTCCTTGAAAACCTTTTGTGACAAAGATCACATTCATGTGGCTTCTGTCAATTTGGCTCCAGACAAAAGGACCACTGACAATACTGTTTCTGTAGAGACTAAGTCTCCCGGCAAAGCGGTCTCATTGAATATGACACCTGCCAGTGGGACCCCTTCATCAATATTCTTTAGTTAGCTTATCCAACACTTTTATGTAATACAACGTATGCATCTCTTGTTCGGCAGGCCTTATTTTTATATTCGTTTATCTATTATAAAATATAGTATGTTTTAATTTAAGGGTCATCTATCTATGACATCCATAATTGAGTCGTTTTTAGGCTGTTCCAACAGTGTGTTGGGAGAAGGGTCCACGCTATACCTTCCTACCTGCAGTATACTTGTAGGTTATCAAAACAAAATGCTGTTATCATGTAAACATCATGTATATCATACATTTACACTTCTGTGCACGCTTTTAAGCAACAGATCTTTTCTGTTGTAAATTAAACATTATCAAAACTTTAGAATTGGTGAAATTTAGCTGTTAAGGGCTCACTTTGTTTGTGAATTAATGTTGGTTCATGAAAAACAATTTCATTCGGGCATTTAAAAGAGTATATAGTGGTATTGGAGGTAGGACAAAATCGTTACTTTTATGCCAATAGTGGTCATGCCATTCATTGGTCTGGAGCCAATATGTCGGGAGCCCAATTGCCGGTAGCCCATTTGTCGGTAGCCAATATGTCGTGAGCCGATTTGTCGGGAGCCCATTTGTCTTGAGCACTTATATCGGGAGCCAATATGTCGGGAGCCGCTTTATTTAAGAAACATATTTATGGCAATCATCACATTCATCTGGCTTATCTCCAGTATGAACTTTTCTATGTTTCCTTAAATAAGAACTATATGAAAACTTTTTATGACAAACATCACATTCAAATGGTTTATCTTCTGAATGAACTTTTTTGTGTGTATATAAACTAGAACTCTGAGAAAACTTTTTATAACAAACATCACATTCAAATGGTTTATCTCCTGAATGAACTCTTTTGTGTGCATATAAATTAGAACTATATGAAAACTTTTTATGACAAACATCACATTCAAATGGTTTATCTTCCGAATGAACTTTTTTGTGTGTATATAAACTAGAACTATATGAAAACTTTTTTTGACAAACATCACATTCAAATGGTTTATCTTCTGAATGAACTCTTTTGTGTGTATATAAACTAGAATGAGAAAACTTTTTATGACAAACATCACATTCAAATGGTTTATCTTCTGAATGAACTCTTTTGTGTGCATATAAATTAGAACTATATAAAAACTTTTTATGACAAACATCACATTCAAATGGTTTATCTTCTGAATGAACTCTTTTGTGTGCATATAAACTAGAACTCCGAGAAAACTTTTTTTGACAAACATCACATTCAAATGGTTTATCTCCTGAATGAACTCTTTTGTGTGCATATAAACTAGAACTATGAGAAAACTTTTTATGACAAACAGCACATTCATGAGGCTTATCTCCTGAATGAATTTTTTTATGTTTACTTAACCTAGAACTATCTGAAAACCTTTTATGGCAAGCATCACATTGAAGTGGCCTCTCCCCTACTTGAGCTTGTTTATTCAAGTTAGATCTTTGAAAAAACTGTTCATGATGATCATGAGGATCAACAGACAGATATGTTTTGTCTTCAGAGAGTTTTAGCTTTTCTTCAAGTCCATTTTGTTGTTTGTCCTCAGAATCTAAAAATTTTGTCCATAAATCTGGTTTTATATCTTTGTTGGTTGATAAAGTTTCTAATTCTGGGATTATATCTTCGCTAGTTGATAAAGTTTCTAATTCGCGTTTTAGATCTTCACTAGTTGATTTATTTTCTAATTCTGGATTTATATCTTCAGTAGTTGATAAAATTTCTAATTCTGTGTTGGTTGATAAAGTTTCTAATTCTGGTTTTATATCTTCACTAGTTGATAAAATTGCTAATTCTGGTTTTATATCTTCAGATCTTGTACATACTGCTGATACAGCAGGTTCCATATCTTTAAAAATTAAAAATCCTGTTGTTTTATCTTGAGAAGTTAGAAATGTCGTATGGTGTTTTACATCATCAAAAGAGGAAAATGTTGTACATTCTGACTTTGTGTCTGTAGAAGATGAAAAATCTGGCGTAACAACGGTTTTATCATCCTGTGAAGTTATAAATGTCATGTTTGGTTTGATATCACGGAAAGTTAAAAATGATAATTCTGTTTTTATGTCAGAAGAAGATGAAAATACTGTAGATAGAAGTGGCTTCACATCTTCAGAATTTGAAAATTCGTCAAACTCATCAGACTGTAAATTTAAATCACCAGTTGCCTCTCCCATGCTGCTTCTTATAAATGAACTGAGGATTAAATATTTAATGTTAAAGTGGTGATTATACAGATCTAGTGACTATAGTCAAAACAAAGTTTTTTCAATAAAACTTCTCAGAAGCATATTAAAATATTTTAGAAATGAATTTAGATAGCTTAAAGTTAATACAATCAATAAACAATTTTAAAAATAAAATAATTAATGTATTGTATATGCCTAAGGGTGGCGGATTATGGTAGAAAATAAAATCAAACTTAAATTTTTTTTGTTTTATACAATATTTGTACAAAATTAACATGCCATGCTTTTTAAATTGACAGAAGGTAAGTATACCATGTTACAAAAACTGCAATCATAACAATTCATATTTTCACTTTAAAAAATGAAAAAAAAAACAATCATCAATGAGGAAAGTGCAACGCTTTATGTTTTTAAAATATGGGGCGACATGACAAATAATAAATCTGGCCAAATGACTGGCTTTGGGCGCAGCACACATGTAAACGCGCCTTGTTTTTCACAAGATTATAATCAATTGGCATTATTGGGGAGGGGGGGGGGGTATATTCCCAAACCGTTGTTTAATCATACACGGCATAACATTAGAATCATAGTTTAGAAGTTTATTTGATTGTAAGTTCATACAAAGCTACTTTCACTAAAGTGTCGCTTGCGAGATAAAAAAAGAAATTAGGTCAAAAGTACACCTTACTATTCTTAATTAACAGACTAAGGTAATCTATGGTTTTATGTACATAAAATCTGCAGAGGCTAGTAAGGTTAAAAAGCCAGTAGTGATCTCCCCTAAGCTTTCTCGAATATTCTTATATAACACTACGGCGGATTGGCAACTCAGGATATACTATATATAGACATGATTTTTAAATCCATGTTTAAGTACTTAAACTTTTTAAAATAGAATAGAATCTTGTAGAAAAAAGAATTGCACACCAAGGAAATGCGAAACAAAATGTGTATAATAGTGCGGAATATTATTAGTACTTTTGAAAAATTTAAAGTAGAATTAGTTCCACTTCCGGTTAATCAGAAATCGCTGAAAAGTTGATACAAAACTAGAAATTTGATATTTATAATGCTTATCTATATATATAATTCTCTTCTGGGAGCTGTTAGAAAACAAGCTGCAAGCGCGCGCCTTGCAGTCCCCTCTCTTCCTCTCTATCGCTACCACCCCCCCCACCCCCACCCCCCTCACATGGTCAGGTGAGTTGTAGTTCACGCTAAGTGTTTAGTTTGGTGACGGCTATTAGGGGCAGATAATTCAGTTTGAAACTATTTTAAACTTAGAGGAGGTAACTAAGAGGAGGCTGCTTTCACGGGGCGGGGGGGGGGGGGGGGGGGGGGATGGGGTTTAGTGTTTTAAAGCAAATATTTTTAGTGGCAGCATTGGTACTGTCGAATTCACAAATTATGAATTACTGAAAAGTAGAAAAAAAAATAACTAAATAGCGGGTCGGCTCGTATATGAAATTTTATCAACCTAGCTGTAACTGTACTCAAGTTATCGTGTTCACAGACACACATACACTGAAAGAATTGCAAAGCCCAGTTTTTCAGACTCGATTATGCATAAAACATCGAAAATTTGATAAATGTGGGTTTATAATTTTTGCCCGATTAAAATAAGTCTTCTATACTCCAGATGAAGGACTGAGGTGAAAACCGTCAAAATTTCATGTGATTTTTGTGAACTATCAGAATACTTTCTCTATACCCTGTATACGAGTAAGTAAAAAAAGGGTGACGTATCAAATTTTTGTAATTAGTTGGCATTTTTAGAAGGATTCTCATTTTGAAAGCTACAAAAATGTTACAAACTTTTGATGTGCCTGTTTTAAAACATCAGTAGTAAAACTTTTCAGTAATAAATAAAGATTAACGATGTTTTCACTTGATGCAACCAAGCTCATTTACTAAAGCAGCCATCTTGTTAAAGTTTTTTGGTAACATTTAAGCTAGAGATTCAAGGGAAACTACCCTAATTTACAGTTGGCCGCTGTTTATATAGCAAATCTTGCTCACAAACTAGGCTGTTTAAAGTTAATTTCTGGCTTATATTGAAATATTTGGACATTGGTTTTGGTTTATTATTCAATTATCTATTACTATTATATTTGACACAAAAATATTAGTATTACTCGCTACATTAGAGGTGTGGATCATTGCTAACATCAATATGATCATATGATGTCCACACCAGATGCACGACTTTCAAAGATTTTTCATCCTAGCTCCAGTGACCTTCTTACAATTAGTTTTTAAAACATTTACCAAGAGCAAAAATGTGGGTTTTTCATGTTATACAAACAAGCTATAGGTGGCAGGGCAAAATATGCCAGAAAAACATTTTAAAATTTGCTTTGGAGAAGGAAGGTATATTTAAAAGTTGGTACCATTAAAAATGATAGAACTTTTAAAATATTAGCCCGGGAAGTAGAAAAATTAATTGAAGATTGAAGAACTATTAGGTTTATCAGTCTATTAAAAAATATATCCAATATATATATATATATATATATATATATATATATATATATATATATATATATATATATATATATATATATATATATATATATGTATATATATATATGTATATATATATGTATATATATATATGTATATATATATATGTATATATATATATATGTATATATATATATGTATATATATGTATATATATATATATGTATATATATATATATGTATATATATTGTGACATCATTGCTATACAGAAGCTGTATAGCAGTATCCTCTGTCACTGCGTACATAAGTTTTCTTTTTACTTGACACTTTTTTTTTACCTATTTTGCTAGCGTAATTAGGCTAATTAAGTCTCATTATGGATCTTTCACCTGTCTTTTGGATTATACTATGACTCTAAAAGCCCCTAAGCCACAACGATCTATTATTTTGTTTTTTAATCTGTGTTAATCCCTGAAATTATTGCGCATTAGCTTTTGTGTGCTTATTTATGAATATTTATGCCTAATTATTTGTTGTTTTCAAATGTGTTATAGCTTAAATAATTTTTGTTAATTCTTATTGATTTCATAGATTTTAATTAGTCTAATATAATATTACGAGCCGACCCGCAGCATATCATACGCCGCTATTTTGTTGTTTTATTTTCTACTTTTCAGTAATTCATAATTTGTGAATTCGACAGTACCAATGCTGCCACTGAAAATATTTGCTTTAAAACACTAACCCCCCCTCCTTTCCCCGACCCTACACCCCCCCCCCCCCCCCCAGTGAAAGCAGCCTCCTCTTAGTTATTTCTTAGTTACCTCCTGTAAGTTTAAAATCGAACTAAATTATCTGCCCCTAATAGAAACCCGGCTCTACGATTGGTAAACATTTAGCTTTGTAAACATTTAGCGTGACCACAGCTCACCAGACAATGTGGGGGTGGGGTGGGGGTGGTAGTGATAGTGATAGAGAGAAAGAGAGGGGACTGCAAGGAGGCGCTTGCAGCTTGTTTTCTAACGGCTCCCAGAAGAGAATTATATATACGAGCCGACCCGCGGCGTATCATACGCCGCTATTTAGTTGATTTATTTTCTACTTTTCAGTAATTCATAATTTGTGAATTCCACAGTACCAATGCTGCCACTGAAAATATTTGCTTTAAAACACTAACCCCCCTCCTTTCCCCTAACCCCGACCCTACACTCCCCCCCCTGTGAAAGCAGCCTCCTCTTAGTTACCTCCTGTAAGTTTAAAGTCGGTTCAAACTTAATTATCTGCCCCTAATAGCCGTCACTAAACCTGGCTGTACGGTTTGTAAACATTAACGTAACGTGACCACAGCTCAGCAGACCATGTGATAGAGAGAAAGAGAGGGGACTGTAAGGAGGCGCTTGCAGCTTGTTTTCTAACGGCTCGCAGAGGAGAATTATATATATAGATAGATTCTCACTGTTCATTGCTGATATACTTTTATTAGGCTAAATAATGTTTATATTATTAAGATTTAAGAGGTCTGAAAAATTACATGATTTTAGTGTTGGGTCTAGGCTTACATTACTAATTAGTACCTAGTAATTAGATTTACTAATTAGGACTTGGGCTAACAAAGTACTTGGACTAGATTTAGAACACGCTCATACTGTGCTTTGAGTTTTTTCTCACCGGTTTACAAAAGAACACAGGTGGGCTGCAATGTTTGTAATTTGCCTATATCTTTCGGTCACATGCGATCATTTTAATGTGATAGGCCTCTTAATTTTATAGGCCTGATGAACTGTATTTGATAGGTTAACTTTTCTGGTTGACAAAACTACTTGAGTGAGCATCTGTCTGTCACTACGCAAGACAGATGCCTGTCATGTGCACTGTCAGTTATGTTGTTTAGAATGCGTTTCTTGTTAACTTGATCAATTTTAATGCGATTACAGTGTTAAAAAAAAATAGATACAAATCTTAACAATATTTTAAACTCAGCATGGACAAAGCTTTGTGAATAACACACAGGTTTCAAGTCCAGTAAGGGAGGAGAGTTAGATTCATTTTACAATGTCATAGCTATCATTTATAAATTGCCCTGATTAAACATTGCTAAAACACACTAATTAAGCATAATCAAAACTGAAATAAACATGCATATGAATATCTTTTAAAAGTTTAGATCTAGATCTATATTATATATTCTTAAACATTTAAAACGTGATTATGTTTGGATCATTCATTAGCCTATATTAAAAAAATAGTAAATATGTTACATGACATGTAAGATGGCGTAAATACTTTAATTCAATTTTGCAAAACTGCGCGAAAATTTAGTAATGTTCCATCGTTTGAGGAAATTTATTTTCTTGGACTTAAA